CCCCCCGCTGGAGGCTCACTCGTGCCCCCTCCTTCCCCCGTGCTTCTCGCCCGTGACAGACATCAACCTGAACTCTCCCAACAAAGGTCTGCTGGCCGACAGCATGACGGACGTGCCCGTGGAGGGCGCCGCTGCGGCAGCCCGCGCGCCCGCTTTCGAGGGGCTGACGCCAGCCGAGGAGGAGGAGCTGCGCACCGAGCTGGCCAAGGTACGGCGCGGCGCCCGCCTGGGTCCCATGCACACTTCGGGGGCCCGGGGCCGCGACCCTTTCCTCCACACGGCCCAGACTTCAGTGAATCAAGCTTGCGTGCGGGCGCCGTCAGGGTGCGTCTACATGTGCGTTCGAATGCACGTTAAAACGCACTGTGAAACAGTGCTTTTTAGTTTGCGTGCACTAATGTGCGTTAAGCGTCGCTGAAAAACTGCGCTCTTTAGCTCGCGTGCACTACGAGAGGCTGATGCATGTCGCCTCTATCTCACAAAGGAGGTATTAGATTTAATGCACATGAACTAAAGCGTTTTAATGCACATGTAGACGTGCCTGAAATGCTGGAGGCTGCAAGTGAGAGAGGAGCGGAGGAGGAAAACCCCCAGTCGGACCCAGCTCGCTCCCCTTTCATCCTCCGCTCCCTGCTGCGGAGTGACACGGGCTTGTTTGTTACCTGTGAAGGATGGCAGGCTGTCGCCCACCGAGAAGGATCCTAACGATGGGAGGCTGCTGAGAAAGTAACAGCTCATTTCATGGGATGAAGGGAAGGCACAAGAGGGATGGGAGCGATGTCAGAGGCTCAGAGCGAGTGCGTTGAGGAGGGATACTGAGCAGCACACTCCATCCTTGGAGGTTTTTAAGACTCGGGTAGAAAAAGTTTTGGCTGGGATGATGTAGTTGGGGCTGGTCCTGCTTGGAGCAGGGCTTGCACTAGGTGTGACTTCCTCTCCTTCCAACTCTCATTGTCTGTGATTCTAGGGCAGCGGTCTAGGAGTTAGCGGTCACTGCCCAGTGAAACTGCTCAGAGACGTGAGCAAACCAGGGACAGGACAACAGTCCCGCAGTTCCTAGCAGTCCTCTTGGCCAGAGCCTTTGTACTGGTCAGGTCGATGGCCAGCTTGGCTAGGGCCAGGAGGAGGTTGACCAGGAGGTCCCAGGACTTGGTAGAGTTGTGGATGGGGAGTGTGGAAACTAAAAGGTGCGGGGAGTTGTGCAGCTGGAGCCTCAGCAGCAGGTTCTGGAGGAGGTGGGGAAGGGTCTGCAGCCTGGCACGCCCCACATAGGTGTGACCAGGGTCTCCCTCTGCTTGCAGAAGGGGCAGGTGTGGACAACATGAACCTCCAGTGTGAGCCACGTAATGGCAGTTCTCTTATGTTCTTATTATGCTAACAGTAGGATGCTTGGAAGAGGCTATGATGGCCTCGCTCTATGCTGTAGCATAAATGACCTGTGAGCTTTATAGAGCGGGATGCATCTGGTGTTTATATTTCCCCTTTGGATTCAATTGTAGCACTTTCCCAGAGGTGTCCTGACCTCAGGTTCAAGGAACGAGATGGGTTTTCTCTCAGCTCAGGTTGAAGTCTAGTTTCAAGTGAGTTTAGATGATGGATTTGTACAGGATGGTTTGGATGGGGATGATCCTGCCTCAGGCAGGGGGTTTTAGATGACCTTTGGGGGGTCCCTTCCAGCCCAACATCTCCATGACTTCTCCATTCAGAGGAGAAAGCATTTCAAGTATGCGGAGCATGGAACAGAAACTCCTTTGGAATAATGGCATTTGAAAGCATGCTTTTTTAAAACCTTTTTAAAATCCCCCCCACCCATTACAGACAGTCTCTCTTGATCTGGGGGCTCGTTAAACAATGGCCAAACGTTTGACATTAGCTTTGTTTAGTTTGGAGTCTTTTATTTGCATGCGAAACAACAGAAAGAGGAAGAGCTGCAGCTGTTGACTTGCAGTTTCTGGATTTGCTTTAGAGCCCTCGTCTAATTCTGACTCAGGAGTCCAAATATTGTTTCAAAAATGCAAATCTGCACTGTTGTGGCTAGCTAAGATTTTCAAGCATTTTGATGGTTGTGAGCTCAAGCAGAATCGAAACTTAGAAGTACACAACAAGAAAAGAAGAAGTATTAAGAGAATGGGATTTTTCCCCTTCAAGTAAAAACATGACAAAATTACAAAACAGACCCCATTTTGCTTGGAAGTAGGATTCGGCAGGGTTGTCAGGATAAGTGACCGTTGCTCGTGGCTTCTGATAAATCTTTGTATAGCTTCCTAATTTTAAATCTGAAAGTTACTAGTATCATCCAAAGTTTATATTGTCCAGGATATTCAAATTTTAATGTAATTAGTCGAACTTTATAGAATTGAGGTTCTTGTTCGCATTTTTCTCTGGTGTATAAATATCTTGATTATTCTGAAAGAGCTGTGAAATGTTAATTGGTAAGGGTCTTTTCATAGTTAACCATGGAGCCAAACTCTTCTCCTGACACATTAAGACATCCCTCCTGACCGAGTCTTCTTTTTTTAGGTGGAAGAGGAGATTGGTACTCTGCGCCAAGTCCTGGCTGCCAAAGAGAGACACTGTGGAGAGCTGAAGAGAAAATTGGGCCTGACTCCCTTTGATGGGCTGAAGCAAAATTTGTCCAAGAGCTGGCATGATGTTCAGGTCTCCACTGCGTAGGTGTTTTCCATGACATGCATGAAAATAAGTTCTCTCCCTTCACTCAGAGTCCTGGAGGGACCCTCTTTGGGCAGGATGACTCGTGCACCAGCAGAAAATGCTGTTAAGGGGAAGGTACCAGAACTGACAGTCTCATGACTGTCTAGAAGATGAATTGGCTGCAGCATATCATGGCTCCAAGGCTTTTCCTCTTTGAATGGTCCTGGAGTTAGTCCTTTTACTGGTAGAGACAATTATTTGTCTATGGGTTGGGATGAATAGAGGATGTTGGCTCAGTAATTACTGGGAAGTTCAGTAATTTCTTTATATTAGCGGAGGCTGAAAATAATTTCTGAAATGTGTATCCTGGTCTGTGCAGTTCTTAGTATGGCCCACCTGTTGGCAGGAGGAGAGTCTAACTACAGTTGAGCTCTAAATCTCAGTGCCTTGAACACTCTGCCTGTTTTATTCTTAACGGGATATTCATTCCATTCCTTCCTGTAAACTCAGGTGGGTCATTAATAGTCTTGTCTCAAAATTTGCAGAATATTCTCCAGAATTGCCTGCTCTTTACATTGACGTCTCTTTGAGGTTCTGGCACATGTTTTTTCCCATAACATTCCTTCAAGGACTGTCTGCTTCCTGCTTAGGTCACCAATTAGTTGTGTAGCTTGCAAAAAACAGCTTCTGAGGCAGAATTTCATAATGCTAGCAGACTACACCCAAGGATCCAATACAGTGAGGCATTTATGGCCCAAAAGAGGTGAGGTCACAGTTAGGTTTGTTGTGTCCCTGACCAGGTATTGATGTTGAAACTGATTTCTGTTCTTATCTGGAAGCATGAAGCTGTGCAGTAGGGATGAGTTCATGAATACAAGCCTATGCCCAAAAGGAATGGATGTTTGAACTGAAGGGATGCTGTTTCATCTGTACAGGCCTATGTTGCCTGTAAGTGGATTTTGCAACGATTGACAGAGCTATCAGTTGAGGAAAGATGTTCTTCAGCTCTGCTTCTTGCTCCTCTTCCTTCCCCCACCCCAGTCCCTGTTCTTTGCTTCCCCCAGTAGCTAAAGGCTCTGAAGTGTCGACTTATCTTTATTTTAACCTTCCCATCTGAGAATGGTTCACTAACACTTTTTGTTTCTAGTTATATGAAAACGTCTGAGACACTTGGAGAATGGAATGAGAAAGTGACACGGTCTGACTTGTGAGTGCCCTTGACTCCTCAGCATCACCTTCTTGCTCCTGGCTTTGTTCTCCAACTTGTACTGCTCCTTGTTCTTCCAGGCATTGAGGGGCTGGGCACGAGGCACAAGGAGACGTTGCTTAAGGCTCTCACTTGTAAACAGTGTACTTGACTTTCAGCCATAAGCATCCCTCTGTTTCAGGGAAGGCAAAAATAAAAGGTGTTGCTCTCATTCCTGGCAGCCTGTTGCTTAAGCTGAACAACTTCCAATCAGTTACCGCACCACTCTTGATGAGAAGGTTAAGCATGTCATTTATACATTAGTTGCCTCTCAGTTAGCCCTTGTCAGGCAAAGTCTGAAGCACTGTTTTCCAGCTTTAATGTTACTTTGGCTTCCTCCCTTTTCTCTTGTAAAACATTTTGACAAACACAGTTGGGACTCGGTGACTGGCTTAAGACTTCTGACCATAAGTGATGACAAAGGACTTGGATGTCTCCAGGGCTAGAAAGGACAGGGGCTAGGTGAATTCAGTTACTGGAAGCTGTTCCAAAGTTAGTGAGACTGTGTTGGTCAGATTCTTTTGGACACCAAAATACATTGACATGCTGTGAATTTCTGCTGGGTGGTATTCAGCAGAAATACGAGTCCAGCAGACTGTAGGTCAGTGCAATGGATGGCTTGGACCTGATTAGTTAGGTTAGAACTTCATTGGTTTTTGGTTTTAAATAAATGGTATGGAGTCTCCTCTTTGGATGTTAGGGGCATCTTGTAAGTATTCTTGTGGTACAGACTCGGTCTCTCTCTCTCTCTCTCTCTCTGCCTCTCACTAAAGGAAGTGCTAATTCAGTTCAAAGGAAACATGGGGAGAAAGTGCATATCCTGCTGCAGTTTGGCTCTGCCTTAGTAGGGAGTGACTACTGAGGCAAAGCCGAGGGGTGTGTTTTGGAGGACGTGGTTTACCTGCTGCGTTTCATCTCCTTCAAATGACTTGTGCCACTGGCAGTATCAGAAGTTTGTAGGAGATGGTCTTTTACAGTTGTTTACATTCCTAGAGCATTGCAACCAGCGCTAATCCTCACAGCGCCCAGAGGTAGATATATGCTGGTCCTTGAAGATAAGGAAATGGAGACAAAGCTCAGATGACTTGTTCAGGGTTGTGCCAAGTCAGTTTAGAGTTGAAACTGAATTTGAAATTTGGCTTCTATGCTCAGTGCTAAACCACACTTGTGTAGCTGCCATACACAGAAGGGAGAAGATGGTAAAAAGCGGCTCTCACAGGAGGCAAAGTACAGGGCTTGCAGTTTCAGTTGAACTCACCTGATCCCTTTAAACTTCCAGATTAGGTCATTGGAATCTCTCCCCTTGTCCTTAATCTTTTTGAATAAAGGATGTTTGTTCTGCTGCTTACCCCCTATCTGGAAAGGTGGTGGCAAGAGGGGATAGTTTTCAGTCAAAGAAACAGAGTGTTATGCAGAGGCATTAATGATGTGGAGAGTCAGGAAGGAGAAAGCATTGTCATAAAAGTGTTGGCACCTTTTCTAACCTCCATTGTGTTCATAGATATCGCTCGGCCAGCAGCACATTGGAGGACTGGAATGAAAAATTAACCCAATCGGAAGCGTGAGTGTCATAACCTTCGGTGTAAGCCAATGTTCCAAGAAGCATATTGCCACTAACACTGCCCCAGGCTCATGGTTCTTCTGCTTTGACTAGTCCTGTATTGTGCTACCTGTGGAAACCCTTATTACCCTGCAAATATCTTTTGGGAGCCAGCCTGTCTTAGATCTTGAATTGACTCTCATCCAAGTGACATTACCCTTGGACATTTGTCTGTAGACCTAGGTGATCCCATGCAGTGCCTTGGAGCAAAATGGACCCTATGCACTGTACTCAGCTGGCACCGGGTTTTACAGTTTCAGCTGAGGCCATGGCTTGAATAGATAAATGAAACTATTTTATTCCTGATGATGGGAAGGATCAAGGGATAATTGCATTGCTTTGTGGAGAAGCAGGTGCCGCTGTTTTCCATGTGACTGGTGCACTCTGAGTAACTGGGGCTTCTGTTACCAAAATGTACCATTTTGGTAGTGCCAACTGGTATTTAAAAGGCTGAGCTTTATTGTTATTATAGTCCCCCTGTTGCTCTTAAGTGGTTCTTTAGTTAGTTGTCTTGTATGAAGCTCAAGTAAAAATATGCAAAATAATGAAGAGCTTGCTAGCTGTGCTTTCATACACTAGCTTGTGTTAGCATGGCATGACAGATTTGAAAGTGTGCCTGCAGAAATAAATGGTTACACTCAACTCCCACATGGTCTTAATAAATAGCTGCCTTCTTAAGTTTAACTCGGCTTAGCTTGCATCACGGTTGTAGCAGGACAGATAATACAATATTACCCACGTGCACGCTAGCTTGACTATAGGATTTCATACTTGGTTACTGTTTTGGAGTGGTTTAGAGTGGCATTGCAATTTAAATTATGCTGTTCCCCATTAAGTTGTCTGAATTTGCTGTGCATTTTAGAGGACACTAATTGGCATATAGTAAAAATGTAACCTTAGCCCTGCTCACTACACTTTTTAATGGGATTTAAGTTAGTAATGGAACTTTTAGGTACAGCAGAGTGGAGTGAAGCAACTGGGGGAGATGGGGAGTGTCTCCCTTGCATCTTAGTGGCATTTAGATAATGACAGGGTTAGGTCATGGGTCGCTTCTAAGTTGCCTGTTGTACAACTTGGCATGGAATTTGATCTCTTTTGTTAAGTCTAATTATAGTAAGTGGCAGTGGGTGTGTGGCAGTGTAAATATGGTTCATTGTCAGGAGAAGGATGGGAAGATGTGTGGTTCTTCTTTCTAGGAGGAATAGTCTGCTTCCCTTTTAAAGAGGATAAATCTTCTCTGCTGCTTTCCCTGGTAGATACCAAGTGACGTTCTTTATATGCTAGTTAGTACACAGGTCAGCTGAGTAACTTACTTCTGGTAATATTTTTCTATGAGAAATGGAACTTGGAATAAAAAGCTTCTGATCCAGTCTACTTCCTTTCAGTCCATGATAGGTGCCAGGAAAAATGCAGCAGGAAGTCTGCCTCTGTAGAGCTGTCAGGGCACAAGAGGAACGATTCAAGAGTTGTTTATATCTTGAGGAGCTAAGGCGTGCTAGCCTTCCTGCTGGGTTTGGCACTTAATGCTAACCAGCAAGACCCAAAATAAAATAAAGTTGGGGGTGGGGAGGGGGAAAGAGGAGGCTAAAAAGTATGATACACAAGGCATTCTGGAAAACCAGTGCAAACTTCTACAGTACTTTGATCCAGGATTAAATAAATGCCAACAGTCAGATCCAGGAATTCCAAGACTACGTCATTCCTGGCAGGCTTTTGGGGATATTTATGCAAAATCATCTTCTGTTGCCCCATTTCGTGAGCTGCAGTGCTGCACAACTGACAAGTTTCTCGACTGAACTAGTAACACTCCTGTGACACTGCTAGTGCTTTTTTGCATTGTCACGTATCCCTCTAGTTACTTGTCCTTCATAGAGAGCTTAGTTTGCGGTCTGGAACCATGCGTTATAGCAAAAAGGTACCGCATTATTATTATCTTTTTTTTAAATTTAGGGTCAGCTCAGGTTTTATACATGAAATGTGTGCATTCAGGTATTGCATAAAAGCTGTAAACTAAGATCAGGGTAGGTAAGGTTCTTTGGGTAGATGTGATATCTTTTTTTAGCTCAACTGAGCGTTGGAAAAATGTTCTTTGCACGGTTTTGGGCACAAGCACCCTTCAGGCATAAGGAGATCTCAGAACAGCAGAGACTCCCTATCCCTGAAGAAGGGCGCTTGTGCCCAAAAGCTTACAAAGAACATTTTTCCAACTACTCCGTTGGTCTAATAAAAGATATCACATCTACTCAAAGAACCTTACCTTAGACCGACACAGCTACAACCAAAACCCATGTCCTTAGACTGACATGGCTACAACCAAAACCCATGCAAAATAAGATCAATACAGTTTAGGTCTCTTGAGTCATGTTGTATAGGGGCTTTTTTGACTGACTGAGGTTGGTGCAAGGAGAGACTGAATTGGTTACTATACGTTAGGTAATGTTACAGAACAGGAATAGCCTGTTCAGCGGAGAAATGCAGTTTAGGAGGGATGGAACACGTGGAATTCAGTCCCAGGTTGGCAGGTGAAGGCGAGTTGTTTGCTGTAGCGATGTATTGCAGATGATAGCATATCTGGCACCTGCTTTTCTCTTAAAATAAATCGGATTGTGGAGGAGCATATGATCCTGAAAGACCCATATGCTATCAACTGGATTTTGAAGCGCAACTGTGCTCTCTTCCCCACTTCCAGCAGGGGAGGGTGATACAAAGAACAAAGACAGTTTTTAATATGCTGCTTCTCACCTCTGCAATTCAGAGAGATGAGGGAGTGATTTCTGCATGGCCTTTACTTAAATATCCTAGTATAAATGATATAGGAGGAGGCCATAGAACCAGATGTTAACTGCTAGCCCAAGAACAACTTGTAAAGGATACAGTTGTGGAGATGTCTTGGCATGTTTGGTTCCAGAGCTTGGGTTGAGGGGGGTGGAAAAAGAAAGGTTAGGTGTCTCTTTCTCCAGTCCTCTGAACTTCTTAAATGAATCTGTAATCAAACAGAGGTAAAGCTGTCAGACTTGCTTAGATGTGGTTAAAGGTAACTGATGGGAACTTCTTTACATATAGATGCTAAACTGCAGTTGCAGAGGGGATGCTAATTTTTGCAGTTCTTGTCTGCAGTCAGAGGTTGATATGGCCAGTCTCTTCAGTTCCTAATACTGCAACAAGTGCATTTCTAACCTTTAAGGCTGAAAGCTTATATTTGGAACAGCTTCCTTAGTGCTGAAAGGAGGAGCAACCCTTCATAAAAGGAGCAAAAGAGTTGTGGAACGAAGTATGGTACTCAAAGTAACCTAAACCCCACATGGAGAAATTAGAAATGGATGCACACTAATATAGCAACTGTGGTAAAGAATCTGAAGCAAATGTAAAGAAATATTAAATCAACTTGCATTGTCTTGCTACGGTTCAAAGCCACAAGTCTGTGAGACAGTAGAAGGGGAGCTTTCAGCCCTGTAAATGCAGCTTACTAACCTAGTCTCTTGTCCTCAATGTGGGCAGCCTTTCCAAAATGCTGGGATGTTTCTCGCTTTCCTGCTTGAGATTTTAACCCTTAAGATTAACTTTTTATGTCTTCCTCCCCCCTCCCTTTTTGCTTAGTTATAAGAAGACTCAGGAAACCTTGTCTCAGGCAGGACAGAAGACTTCAGCTGCCCTTTCTAATGTGGGTTCTGCTATAAGCAGGAAATTTGGTGACATGAGGTAAGATCTCCACTTCCTAGTGTTTGGGGTTTAGAATTTTGCGGTGTGGGAGACCTGAATATCTGAGACTTAACAGCTGGGCCTTTCCAGTTATATAATTTTTTTTTTTTTAAAGATGGGTTTTGTCACTTATTGCATATGATGGCTATTCCATGTAACCTACTGTGTCTTGTGTGCTTATCTAAACTCCCCCTGGGCCGAGCGTTCCAGAGCATTTTCAGTCCCTGGTCTTTTTATCTTGCTCCACACTATCAGAATAGTTTGGGTTTCCCTTCAGAGGGAGGAAGTACAGCATTTTTATTTGCAGCTCACCCAGTCTGTTTTCAGGAAAGGTTTAAGGGGTGGGCCAGATTTTCATTCATCTACTTGTATGATGATGCCGTTTTGGTTGTTTCAGTGTTGAGAGTTAAAATGAATCCAACTGTTTTTTCTCTAACAGATGTAGAAAGCTCTGATAGGGAAAACTGGCCATAGTACATCATGCATCGAAAGCGGGGTACATTGATTCTTTAAAGGGAAGAGTAGCACCCCTTATTAGATACGGCTGCCTACCATGCATGTTTACAGGGGTGGTGGTAAGGGAAGTGGATTGTCTCTGCCCTGGACTTGCATGCAGGGACATCCTGATCACTGAGTTGTGTGTACCCAGGAGTGTGAATTCAGAGGATTTTGGCTCTTCTAATGCTTTTGTGTGAAAATGGACCTGCATCTCCAGATGTTCAGTTGCTCCATTTTCTGCCAGAGCCTTCTGGTAAGAATGAAACATGACATGGAAAAAGAGCTGTTCAAAGGCCTTCAGCTGTTAGAGGAACCATACAGAAAAATGGATGTAAAACATAATTTTTCCTTAAAGCTTTGCTAAGTCCCAGATCTCTCTCGGCATATACCAGCTGCTTAACTTTATTCAATGACTTTTTATATATTTATGTTGTTGACAAGGCTGTGGCCAGCATGCCAGTATTCATTTGGGTATTTGCTTTTCCTAGAGATTTCCCCCTTCCCCTGTGGCTGAGCATACCTGGGTGGTAAGCACTGGATAGTCTCTGATCACATAATACTGGCTGGTCTAAACTTACCTTCAGTTGCACACTGTGTTCTTGGCAGGGCAGTATTAGTGCATATCTTGAGTTTCTTTGAATTTGGCAGGGGACAATTTCACTCTAACTTCTAATATCCAGGTATTGTGTTGTCCCATCTCTCCGTCCTTACCCTGGAAACTCCCCAACTTTGTGTTTCCTGCTATTTACATTAGTCTTCTAACACCTTAAACAAGCAGGTTGTAGAGGCTTTTGCCAAGTAGTAATCTCAAAGTAAATGGGAATCTCTCTAATGTTGCTAAATTATGCAACCAAACATGGCAGGTGTAGCAAGAGAGAGGTGAATTCTGCCTTTCCAAGACCTTCCACATCGGAGTCTACATGGGAATAAACAGCAATTAAACCAAAAAGTGCCTAAACAATACAAATGAACTTTGCACTTGCAGCATTGTTCAAAAGAGGTAAAATAAAAAATACTAAAGAAAGATTCCTCGATCAATGTGCAGATGGTCACATTTGATATACAAAGCGTATAATACAAATTTAATCAAAAAAGGGTCCTTTAGTAGTAGTGGTTCAGCATTGGAGATGCTTTGTATTTCTGATTGTCCTGGGTCAATATAAAAATATTTAATTGTAGTGTTTTACAGTTATCTTCAATGACAATGAAGTGGGGCTGGGCAGCTTCTGCCAACTGTACCAACGGCATTACTAGATAAGTTGTCAGGTTTTGACATGTGTACGCCCTATGAAGGAAAACGTCATTGGAAGTAAATTTTGTGCCTTTCCTTGAAGTCTTAAGAAAATGAGAAATTCTTTTGTTGTCTGGGTGAACAAATGGCTCTGCCTGGCCTCCTCGGCTGTATTCAGAGCAATATTATCCTAAGACTTGAAAACAGAATGAATTGGTTTGCTCAGAAACTGTCCCTCCATGCTGACCTGGAAGCTGCTGCTAAGTGTGATTTGATCAGAGATTACATGGAGTGAAATAAGGATGTTTCTGTAGTGAGACTTTTTTTTTTCCTTTTCCTCCAAAAGGATATGTTCTTTACCCTTCATAAATTGTAGCCCTAGCCTCTAACTGTAATTACTTAAGTTGTCGTAGGGCTTTCTCTCTCTCTGTCACTCACACTTCAGACTTAGGATCCAATCCTCTATTTTCTAGTCTGCTGGAAGTGTTGAGATAACAGATGGGATTTCCCTGTCTCATCTGCCTGTGATGGCTGAAGCACTGGAAAGTGTTTCTCTGTTTGGGGAGAGACACTTCAGACATATAGAGGACTTGGTCCCAGTCCCTGTGATCAAAGGAGGGGTTTTTTTGGGTGGTTTTTTTTTTTTGAATTTGAAACCCTCTGACATCAGGATATGTGTTAGAAAAATACCCCAGGAGAACAGGTGGTTCCTGTGCACTGCCTGGATTGCCATGAAATCCTACGACTGCTGAATGTGGTGAACTGTAGAGCTGCCCTGTGCCACTTGTATTAGAGGGCTAACGTGTTGTGCTGGCGCATCTCCTTATCTCTGAATTTATTCCTCAGGATGGCTGGCTTAATTCATCGGAGGAGGGTTTTTGCAAGTCTTAACCATTCGAACTTGCTCTGTTATCTCTGCTTTCAGTTGACACATCTCATGCACACACTTGTCTGTTCTTACATTACAGCATTTTACTGCCTTGTGTGACTCTAGTAAACCCAGTCTTGAGCGTGTTCTTGTCCTCACCTGTGAGGGCAACTTTAAGAACCTGTATTTTCTATTCTTTGTTCCATTGCACTGTGTGAAGGAAACAGTGCTGTTGTAGCTAATACTGCAAGCACATTCGTTTTTAAATGTTCACTTGAACTAGCAGCAGGGCAGCTCCAGGTTATCGAAATTCAGGAAACTCTTTATGAGTAAAGAGCTGCAGCAGCTATTTGGCAGCTCTCTAAAAGTTCGGTCTCCGGTGCTGACCAGGTTGAACCGTGCTTGTGGTAATGAGCATGGTGCTTGAATTGGTGCATGCTTCCCTGCTTCCTCCAGGAACGAGAAGCAGGTTAGCTTTTGCAAACTTAATAAAGACCGTGTGTCTGCCTGTGTGTGTGTGTGCTGGGTTGGATGACTGATTGATGACTGACTTGATTTTGGGGGTTTTGGTGTAATCAAGGCCCCCTACCACCTGGTAAGCTGGGTTTAAACTACGTGGCAAGACTACCTGCCTTGTGCACAGATGAAACTCTGGCAGCTGTATCTAAAGGGAATAAAAGACTACCTCTCCCTGTAGAATAGCCTTGCTGGTACCTCTCAGTAAACTATTACGCTGTCTCCATGTTGTCACCTGGGGTCAGCAGCCTGTAACTGTTTTGCAAAAGCTGGCAGAGAGGAGGCTAGAAATGGTGGTGTTTGAGTAGGGGGTAGTCTGTCTTGCCAGCCAGGGATGTGTGGGAGGCAGTTTGGTATTACATTTTAAGTCAGGATTTCTTGCACTCTTTGGCTATGGCTGCAGAATATCTCTGGACTTCAAATAAGACCATTGCACGGCCAGCAATGCTCTATTCGAATGAGAGCTCAGAGGACTCTGCTCTGGGATGGGAAGAGATCTCTAACATGGTAAAAGGGGTTTATAAACACTGTCAGGGACTAGGTTTCCTGTTGCTAGAATTGCAGTCTGCTCAGTATCATGGATATAATCTAAGTGTTAATGCTGCTAGTGTTAACCCTTGCAGTACTCCCTACCACAGCTTTCATTGTGAGCATGTAGTGTGAAAAATGCATTCGTGTGAACTGCTTGCTTTCTCTTGACAAAGTTGCGTAGAGCCAGACTGTTGCTCTCAGGCTTCGCAAGAGTGGAGGGCAGCTATGGCGAGGCATTCAGCTGGACAGCTGTGCCAAACTAACCTCTCCCTTTTCTCTCCTTCCGCTGCCGATGGGTTCTTTCAGGGCTCATCCCTTCTCGCATTCGTTTAGGTAAGACACTAATCAAGGTTGCAGAAGGAGAACCATTAGTGCTGCTCATTTAAGGGGTGCTGCATAGCTGAAAAGGGAAGCTGACCACGCAGAGTGCACCCGTACTGCAAAAACAGATGAGCTAGGGAATTTGGTTGCAACATGTGTCCCTGAACTGGCTTTATGACACAGTTGTGGTTCATTGTGCAGGTTTAACTTCAGCACTTGCAGTAGCACTATGAGCCCCCTCCATTTCTTTATTCCTACTGTAGCTAGGAGCAGAAACCATTTATAGCAGTTCTTCGTTTGAAAGCTGTCAGCTGCATGCATCTACACAGTGCCCACGGGGTGCTTATTAGATCCTTCCACGTAGCCTGCTGGTTTTGGGGATTATCTTGTTTGTTTAGCAACCTAACCTGACAAACCTTTTAATCTTAAATACATTCTGTCTACTGGTGTAATTTGGTGGAATAAAGCCAGTTGTAGATCTTCTTAGCTTTTAGTTTGTGGTGCCTGTACACCAGCTCTCCAAAATCCAGTCCTTGATGGTGGGGCCAAATGCTTCAGTCCTGAAGTCTTGGTGCAGTGTTACAGGTCCTTTTGAGGAAGGCTTTGCTCATGGCAGTAGAAAGAGCCAATTTGCCATAGTTTAGTTGCGGGGAAAGCTCCTAAACAGTGTTCTGTGACTTGCATGTTCTTTATTAGGTAGTTGGGGTAAGTATCTTGTGATTTTAAAGAACCAGCCTGAGCTGCAGTGTGTGAAAGGGATGGCAGGAGGGGGTTTTGACTGCCTCAGCTTTTAATATTGAGGGCAGTAAGCATTTGGAAACCAGCAGCACATGCATGCATGTCTTGCGTTATGTCCAGGTTGAACTGACTGCTAACCCTTTCCTCCTTTGCTCTCCATGCTTCCGAGTAGCAGTTACTCCATTCGCCATTCGATAAGTATGCCTGCTATGAGGTAATGTAGTCCTGGATTTCAGAAGTGGGATAGGTGGAAGATGTGCAGTTAGTTCCCTCTCCTTTGGGGACTTTAAATGCAGCTGCCACTTCATGTAACTGCTTCATTTCTGCTAAACTCTTATCTTGGATGTGAGTCAAGGCCTCAGACAGCTCCCTTAGTTCAGGACTTGAATCTCTGTTGCATAAATCTGTAAGCTTATGAATGGGTCTCTTATGGCCTCAGTAGGTGAGATTAAGATGAGAACTATAGCCACACAAAATTGCTGTTTTCAAATGTCTCTGAAGAGAATTAGGATGCTCTTCCTCCAATTGCAGCACAGGTATGCATGCGGCAGATGGCCTGAGCTCTGACCTTCCACCTATCCCTGGTTTGCAAAGTAATGGGTTCATCCCAGAATGGTAGAATGCTATTGACCCTGCATGGCGAAACACTGGCCAGTGCTGGACTGGGTGCAGGTCTGGTTTCCTTTATACTTGTTCCAACGGGCTCTGTGACATCCTCTTGTTTCTCTCTTGCAGACTCAAGCAGGCAAGTTGGTTTCGTGGGTGCAGATATTCAAAGTGAATCCTTAATGTCGATATGCCTAGGAGCATTTTTCTCGCTTGATAATTGCACACTAGTCCATTGACAAAACAGCCCCGCATGACTCACTCTTGACTCGCCAGTGCAGAATACTCCTACTGAATTGCTCATGACCTTGAAGCTGGGAGGCTAAATTTGTTAGACAGTTGACCAAAATTATTTGCTCCCATCTGTTTGTCAGTGTATAACTGAGGTTTGCTTCTAAAGCCACACAAATGACTGCTCCTCGCCAGTGGTCGGGATGGGCTTCTGATGATATCACTGGGGTGATTATAGCCCTCTGCAGTCCTTCAGTAGAAACAGCCCTTTCTCTCTCACTTGAACAGCCTGTGATGTGCGGAGCTGTAGGACTCATTTCAAGTCTGTGTTGATCTGTCCCTGCAGACTAAGCTCGGGTTCCTTTTAAATAACAACATCTTATGAACTTGTGAGTGAAGGGCTGGCTTCGCTGCCATCTAATCTGTAGCCCACTGATCCGTACTGAACTTGGGCTGCCTTGCAGGCTTTTCTTAGGTTGAGTGACCTTTTGTTCGAATTGGGAAAATGTGCGGTGTAAATAATCTGCTTTCCAGAACTTGTACGCACTGCATGTGCCTATAGTGCCGTTTCTCCAACCTGAGCTGTGTGAGCATTTAGTAGGATGTGTCCTTGTGAAGGCTTCTTGGCCAGTCAAATACAACTCCAGTTACAACGTATTAGCCCCTAGCCTGTCCAGGCCAAGAACAGCCTGTTCCAACAGCTTGTGTGACCTTATATTGCCTTTTTTTTCTTCAAGGAATTCTGCAACCTTCAAGTCATTTGAAGATAGAGTTGGGACCATAAAGGTAATGATCTTCTTCCTAAGTGTGCACACTAAGCAGATCCCTGGCAGGAGTTTGTGTGAAATGGCTCTTGCACTTGAAGTGTTTAAAGGGGCACCAGTGTTTGCAGAGAACTCTGGTGGGTAAATCACAGTTCACACAGTAAGGTCCCTGGTATTAAGAGCTTATAGTCTCTGAGATTCGACACAAGTCACAGTAGATAGGTGGGGTGGGTAACAAGTGGCTGTATTTTATGCTCCTTTGAGAAATAGTAGCTGATCCAGTGTCCACTTCGTCGTCTTAAATAGCTTCTCTTTCCTTTTCAGTCCAGAGTGGTGGGCAGCAGAGAGAACAGCACTGACGGCCTCCACTCCCCAACAGGCGTTGGAGATAAGCCACCACAGGACAACGCTCCTTTCTAAACCCATCGCATGGCTTTGCACGGCTGTGCACAACTGCGAGAGTGAACCCCCCTAATTTTTCATCACAGTAACAACATGCAGATAAGGGGAGGGGATGAGCCCCACTCTGAAGAGAGAGATCCATACATCAACACACAGACATTGCTGCTGGGTTCAAGTCAAATAAAGAGAACACAAAGTTTTGTACACAACTATTTTACACTAAAGTTTGTAGATGAAGTGCATCACTGTGCTGTCCTCCTGGGAGAGCACTTAAAATGGAGTTTCCTCAGTGTAGTTCAGAAGCATTCTTTTGGCATAAGTTGCCTGTGGTCCCCACTCAGAGATGTGGTCTTCGAGCTGGGGAAGCTTTCGGCCCACGTGACGAGCAGTTATGGAAGAAGCTAATTGCACAGGAGACCTAAATCTTCCATTTCTGGCTGTTCAAAATCATTTATGGCAGTAGTTGGGTCATCCCCCTCGCTTCTCCCATCACTGCTCCCTCCTGCTATCCCAGAAATGGTGCCGGAGACATGAATGAGGTAAACAGTTATTTTCTCTGGGCTCCCAAACAGGAAACTTGGTTTAGCAGCTGCCTCGTTACACTAATGCTCTAGCTTTAACAAAACTAAAATCTTTATTTTTAAAAGCAATGGACTTCAAAAATGAAAGCTGACCAGAAAAAAAAGAAAGCTTTAGCATCATATTAGGGATATATTCCCCTGGACTCTGAAGCTGAAATGCAAGCCTTACATCACCTTATGCTTTACTTGTTTATAATCTTTTTATATAGAGAGAACTGTGAGGGTTATCAAGTTGGGTTTTGAGCACTGGAGTTTTGCATCATACAGTAGTAGCAGCATGCCTATGTGCCAGTTATTGTGTTCATTTGAAATGGTGCACTCTGTTGCTTCAGTGTGTAAAACTTGCTTCTCTGTCCTTGATATAAGCCTGTGTTCCTGGAAAAGAAGGCTGCTAGCAGTGTGGATTAGGAAAGGGCAAAGGTGTCTGTAGCAATACGGGCACCGTACTGGAGAATCCCTTCTCCGCCTCACCTCTGTACAGGCTACGCAGTTTGGAACATCCTCAATGTGATCGCACATTCTCTTGGCTAATATCCCCACCTAGAATCGTTGTTTACAGGAACTGGAGAGAATACTGGAGACTGACCTCTTCCCAAAGTGTCTGGATATGATGCTCTTGTGATGTCCAGCACAGCTGCTCAGGAGCTGTAGAATTCAAGGTTACCTTACAGTGGCCTGATTTGAACCCAGGGAAGAGGTGCCTCCATGTCAGACATACCTAGAGTGAGCAATTCTGTGCCTTAGAGGCGAAGTGGGTCTTACTCAGGTCTTTAGGTTTGCTTACGTACATATCAGAGTAGTCGCGATGGCTTGTTACTCTAGTGGAACTAAACCTTACTCAACCCTTTAGAGAAGCAAGTTTTGACACTTATCTGCTGATTTAATAATCTCAATACCCACCCCTGGTCCCCCATTTTGCAGGTGTTGTGGGAGTGCTATGACCTGTTAGAAGGCAGACGTACTAGGAACTAGGCGGAGTGTAGAGTGTCATTTACCGGGGTTTATTGTTTTGTGGCTGAATCTTGCCTCTGAATGGGGGAGCAGTATCGCTTAAAATGGGGACTGCTGGAGTTTAGGTATTGAACTGTTTCTCTTTACATGTGAATATTAGGGAAATTTGTCAATAAAGCATTCCTTTGGGGAAAAAAAAAGTCGTTCTGTCCTGCCTTGTGTTTCTTTTTTAGGTCAAAAATCGAATATTCAGGTGCAGAGGTTACAGACCCATCAGGAAATGTGTACTGAGTTGGACGCTTGGGGAAAGATGCTCCTGAGCCAAGGCCTTCTGCGTTACGTCTCACGTTGGCACTGGAAATCTTTGGATAGGCTGTATGCGTTTCAGCTGGTGTGTTAAGGGATATTGCTGGTCTGGCACTTCCCATTTAACAGCCGTGTCAGCATCAGCCCACCCACAATGTGAATTGCTGTGAATTCATTACATGGGACTTATTGGCAGAAAGGCGTTTGCCAATTCCTTGCAATGACGGGAGCTGGCTGCTGAAAAGGAAGGGGCTGGGACAAAAAGGACGGATGTTAGAGCCAGAAGTGAATGCCAGAGTGATCCCAAGGGTAGATCTGGAGAAGGGTGATGTCACACTCATGCCTTTGGATGCTGTCTTAAATTACTCCTAATATTTCTTCCCTTGCCTATGGGAACATCCGTAAGGACAGGAATGTGGGTCTCTTATGCTCTACTTCATCTTCGTTAAACCGAGAGCCCTTGTATATTTAAGACAGTAGGTTTGAAATCGGAACAAACTTGTACGTAACTGAGGCTTTAATGCTATGCCTCCATCACTGCGCAGGGAATCTCAGTTGTTATCCTAGATACTTGCTGCTGTGCCGTTTCTCATCGGCGCACTGCTGGCAATCCTTTCCTGAAGAAATGCAATGCAACTCCATTAGAAATAGGTGCTAAAGATTTTTATTGAACTTGGCATTAAGCTTGCAATAGCTCCTCTCCCTGCTTTTGAGTCTGGTCCAGAGTTTGAGCAGCTGCAGCAGCAACTCTTGAGAGTTATAGTTCAAGCTTGAGAAACTCTAACATGGAAAAAGCAGTGGTTGTCCTGGCTTAAATTTACAACACGGCGCTCATGGAGATCGGCTTAGAACTGGCCTTGGCAGCTGCTACTGACTTGCGGCAGTGCTGGGAGAGGGAAAGCGCTGAGCCTGTGGCTTGGGATAGGCTTTCTCCCAAGGCTGTGCTGTCCTGAATGTAGAGCTGGCAACCATTAACAAACAGCGCAGGGCTGTGACCTTCCCTAAGAATATTTTCTGTCTCCAGTGCTTAGCCATCTGGCTGAACTAGGGACTTCTGTAGATAACGCATCCTGGGGTTATTTTTCCTGTCCAAGGTCTGCCCAGGAGGCCACGTCTCACTATTGCATGCATACAGCTCACATGGCTGTCTGCGTGAGTCGTGAGCAAAGATCATGGATGTACATGGCAGTGACTTGTTAGCTGTGCAAATGCTGCCGTCTTTGGTGAGATGGAAATGCAGCATCCAGCTGCTGTCGGAGCGTTATAAAAAGCTAGAGCCCTCTGCTCTCTGTCAGGGGGGTGTAACTTGCCCCGAGGGAGGAGAGGAGGGAAGGCAGGTGCTTCAGTTTTGATCCTCTGTCCACTGCCATCTTCCTTGGTGCCTAGGAGAGCTGTTCCCTGTTTCATTTTGGTATGATTTTTTTCTAGCATGCCTGGGGCCTTGAGGGCCAACCCTGTGTTTCTCTGCTTACTGGATCATGGACTAGAAAGCATCCCAGTGGCAAGGACTGCAGACTCCTGGTAAGCTCTTCTTGCGTCCCACTGCAGGAGGGTAACTGCTCTCTTCAGTGTATGAGAGCTGAAAACTTCTCCCAGTGACCAGCTAATAATGAACTACCAATACTTTTTTTTTTTCCCCCCCCAGCTTCCCCTCTTGCTCAAGGTGAGGCAGGACTTGCCATTCCCCTCACATAACCTTTCAGGCTGAGTGAGGAAAAAAGAGCACTTGTCTTTTCCACAGCTGTTAATTTAAGGATTAAAGACAGATGTTTTAAGCTGAGGTTGGGCTGTCAGCAGAGAGTAGGAGGCGGCAGGTTTCAAAGCAAAGGCTCCGTGTCCCCAGAGGTAGCCATAGCTGCTAGCGGCTCTCACGGAAGAGCAGGGAGGAGAGAAGAGAGGCTTGTGCTCTCCCAGAGCACCTCGTAAAAGTGCTGTCTATGCACTGGGTCTCCTTGCTTTGTTAGGGTACTGTCTTGCCTGCAGCTGGCAAAAGGGGAACAGGTCTGGGCAAGAAGCATTTTGCTCAAGGCCACCCCCTCGCCCCTGCCCCCCTCCGGTCTGAGTGCAGCCCCAGGCATCAGGCCTTTGTCCCTCCTTTGGTGGAAGTCCATAGTTCTGGTTAGACTAGCACTAGGGCTGCAGGGCCCTACCTGCTAATCGTACTTACTCGGCAGGTTTGAGTCGACAAAAATATGTCTTCCCCTTAGGAGCCTCAGACCGGTGGTGCGTACAGTGACCTGCTTAAAACCAAGCTGGATTTCCGAGCAGTCCAGGTGCATCTCTCTCTTGCCTCCGTTCTTACCTTCATACTCTCCCCCCGGCCCCTGTGTTTTGTGCTGGCTGGCTCCCATGGGCTGACCATCCTTTTTAATCCAAGCATTCATGTCTTCCAGTGCCGTCCTGGGCTTCAGCCCTGCTCATCAGAGCCATTTGCATAAGTAAGCCTGGCGGTAAATCTTCAAAGATTCAATTGCCAGAGCTGAGGGCTGTTTGGAGGCAGCGGGTGCCCTTCAGCTGCTTCTCAGTAACCTCTTCTCTCCAGTGATTTGTTTCTGTTATCCTGCTTCAATTAACCCCTGAACATCCCAATAATCAGATCAGCATAAATTGATACAGAGCAGGTCCATGTCTGTCATGCACAGGCTGCAGACCAGCAGACTCTAGATCTGAACCTGAATCTCCTCCCTCCTGTTTCTTTGGTGGAACCAGATTATCCTTATTGCTCTGAGTTATAAATGCTTCATTCAAAGGCTCTGTGTTTTCCAGGCTGGTACGTCTGTGTTACCGGTTAGGCTTGCCAAAAATGACTGGGGTGATGCGACTGGATTAGGTACATTTCAGCTGACGTGAGAATTTCTTTCCATAGTGATGCTTTAGGCTGTACAGCAGCGAGCCAGCCTCGAGGGCTGCCTTTCACCACTGAGAGTGCGTCTATTCTCTCATTACACCCTCAGTTACTATCATTTTCCATCGCATCGCTTTGATTGCATAAGGCAGGTGCTGTGCATGGAGAAAAGCAATGAGAGCCAGTTTGCTAAAATGAAGTGCCTCTGTTACACCTGCTACCTGGGTATTAATGCAGTGGTATCAGTGCGCTGTGTCACTCTTGCCACAGGACTGTATCTCGTGGAGCTGGAAAAATGGGGAAGATCTGAGTAGCTGGATAGAGAATGTCTTAGATCTCTCTTCCTGTACGGGGGCAGGCAGGCAGTTGCACACCGAGGCATCGGAGATTCGGGTAAGATTGGAGAGAAAGCTGGGACTTCCTAGACAACCAGAGTCTGGGTCCTGGACTGAGTTGGAGTAGAGAAATAACCAAGAGGAGCGAGACTAGACTGCTCACTTCAGCTGGTTTGCAACTGAAGACTGAAAATACTGCAATGAAGATCCCACCCCCCCCAGTGCTACAAATCCTCCCTGTGCAGCAGAGGGAGGATTGCTTCTCTTCGTGGTTCCTGTCGGAGCGATACGGTTTCACGTGGGCTGCTTCATAACTTATTCTCAGTTCTCTATGAGACAGCCAACATACATCAGTCAGTGCAACACCGGGATTATTTGTAGTTTCCAAAAATGCAAAAAAAAAGAAAAAAAAATGCATTGGAAGGTCCCAGTTAAGTAAAATATAGACAAATGCACGTAAGTGGTCTTTTCTTTGAGCTTTCTCTTTTTTGGAATCTCTAAGTGTAAAATTATCTGCGATCACTGGGAGTGAGATAATGCAGGGGTTTTCAACCTCTTTTGCATTTGCAGACCCCAACAAAATTTCGAATGGAGGTGCAGGCGCCCTTGGAAAGTTCAAGTCAAGATGTGGACCCCTTTGAATTGCACGTGGGTATTCACACACTTTTGATTGATCATAGTCCTCTTTCGCAGACCTCTTAGACGTAGTCTGCAGGCCCCCAGGGGTCTGCAGAGTACAGGTTGAAAACCACCGAGATAATGTGTCCTATCCCCTTACACTCAATGTTATGTTCCCTTTTGATTACTTCATCTCATAAAAAATAGAGAGAAAATATGCAAAAGGTCCAGGCACAGGCACTGATAATGACCTTGAAACATCAAAGGGAAATTTCTATTAAGCCAAAGAGTAAGCAACAAAGCCTCCTTAGACTCTGGGGCTTGGATAGAAGAATTAAGGGAGATATGACTGTTCTGCACACAGAATACCAACGGTTGCAGTGTCAGCTAGTTAACTACTCCTGTTTGCCTCAGCCTATAACGCAAGAACAAAAGAACGAGTGTTGAAATACAAGAGCGACACGTTCCAAACCGATCAAGGGAAGTGCTTTTTCATGCACACAGTATCCAGTTAACCTGTGGAATTTGCTACCACGGGTCCACGCCAAGGCAGATATTTTTATGGAAAAGGGATTGGTTATGTATGTATGTATTGGCAACGATATTCACAATAGGTTAAGTAAAATGACAAAGGTCGTCCGTCCGTCATGATTCAGGTTATCAACTCCTCAATGATGAGGTGAAATTTCCTCTTCTAAAGTGTAACCAATTTGGAGAAAGGCACTACTTTCACATTATTTTTTCGGGATATGTTTCTACTGGTGCATTAGAGTCTCTGAGTGTTGCTGGTATATACATCTCACTAAATCCTATTGAGCATGAAGTTCCTTCCAGTTAGGAGCAAAGACATATGTAGTCATTGCCTAAGCGTGTGTGTGTGTGTGTGTGTTTGTGTTCAGTCATCCCTGGAAGAGTGTGCGTGTGTGTGTGTGTGTACGTACCACTCACCGGGAGCACTTGAAGATGACAGAATATCTGTGCTGTGCTTGGAGATGCTTCAGCCAACAGCGGAGTGGGGGATGCCTGCTCATGTACTAAATGAATTGCCGGGCTGCCGTATAAGATGATTAACACTAATAATGCCATTAGTAAATGC